TATTATTTGACAGGGATGATGGCCCTGGCAGGTGCGCAACCGTTGTTGCAGAAGTTCGAAAAAGCTGCTCGCAAAAGCCCGTTTGACAGAAATGTTTAAAAAGTGTTGGGTTTCCTACGAATCCGCAAGAGCGCGCGGGATGAAATTTCGACATTTTTTTGAAAAACCATTGGTTTTTTTATGTTTTTATGTTAAAATCGCTACGAAAACAACGGTTTTGGAAGGATTTCGTCTTGCGCGCGCGAATATCCACTTTACCTCTTTTTTTGCAAGGGATTCTTGAAGTTTGGATATGTTAGAACAAGAAATTTCATTGTATAGTGTTTTTTGCAAGGGAAAGCGGGGGACAACAAAACAACCGGATCTGGACCACATCGTTTTGCCTGAGGCTTCCTCACGAAAATGATGAAAACGTGGCTGCGGCCTAGGCGCGGCGGGGGGGTCGTGCACCAGGGGTCCCAACAATACTTATTCTTTAGAAGTAATAATGTTCAACAACAACAACAACAACAACAACAACAACAACAACAGTTACTAGCACGTGGGGACACACCGTTCTCACCAGTGCCAGGGTTTTCATAGGAGGCGGGCAATACCCCCACTTTGTGGGGGGGCCGGTTCAAGCTCTACCAAATTTCCAAACGACTCTTCGCCACCACCCACACCCAGCTTCCCGCCCTATGACGTTCGGACACTTCACTTCGTGGCATGCGGACGACCGTGGCTACTATTCAGGGCCCCGCGGCCGACGACGACGGCGTGCGCGCGCGAAGAAAAAACGAATGTGTCCCGCATGGTATTATTTGACAGGGATGATGGCCCTGGCAGGTGCGCAACCGTTGTCGCAGAAGTTCGAAAAAGTTGCTCGCAAAAGCCCGTTTGACAGAAATGTTTAAAAAGTGTTGGGTTTCCTACGAATCCGCAAGAGCGCGCGGGATGAGATTTTGACATTTTTTTGTTGAAAAACCATTGGTTTTTTGATGTTTTTTATGTTAAAATCGCTCCGAACACTAAGTTTTTGGAAGGATTTCGTCTTGCGCGCGCGAATGTCCACTTTACCTTATTTTTTGCAAGGGATTCTTGAAATTTGATTATATTAGAACAAGAAATGTCATTTTATAGTGTTTTTTGCAAAGGGAAAACGGATTACAACAAAACAACCGGATCTTGATGACATCGTATTACCTGAGGCTTCCTCACGAAAATGATGAAAATGTAGCTGCGGCCTAGGCGGCGCAGGGGGGCCGTGCACCAGGGGCCCCAACAATAATTATTCTTTAGAATTAATAATGTTCAACAACAACAACAACAACAACAAACACAAACAACAACGACAATAACGAGAATCCGCACCGCGGAATTCCACATCAGCCACGCACCCAGGGACAGTGAATGACCGTTCGGCCCTCTCACTCTGACATGTGCGATAGTTTTTTATTCATTGCTTTGCCCATCGGCGCGGGCCCTCGCACCGCCCCCCCTCTCCCCCCATGGATTAGAGCTTGGCTGTCATTGGCGCCTGTTTCAGGCAGGTGGGGTCCCCCCCATAGTGTGCGCCTTGTTGCAAACAGTCGCGCTGAGCAGAGGTCCGGAGCCAGACTCCCCCCCCCTCCCCCCCCGCTTCCGCCCAATGCCGAAACGCCGCATAAGAAACCCAGGAAGCCCACAGGCAGCGACCATTCGTCAGGCCGTCCACAGGGTTTGAAAGGCCCCAGGAGAGTTGAGGGCCGCTGCCGATGCGTCAAACCTATAATTGGTCACCGAGCAGTGCTTGCACCCAGGGATTTTTACTCATGGTTCCAGCGAAGATGTTCCGCGTTGCCGCCCGTGGCCGCCCCGTGGATGCCTCGTGCGCTGGGTGCGTCGGGCGAGGTTTCGCCACATTGCCGCCTGGTGGCCGACTGCCTCATGCGCTGGATGGGTCCGTCTGGGTGGCCGCCTCGTTGCCGCATCGTCGCCACGTTGTCGACCGTGGCCGCCTCGTGGCCGCGTCGTGCGTTGGGTGGGTCCAGCGAGGTCTCGCCCCGTCGCCGCCCGTCGCCGCCTCGTTGCCGCCTCGTGCGCCGGGTGGGTCCAGCAAGGTTTAGCATCCTTGCCGCCCGTGGCCGCCTCGTGGCCGCGTCGTGCGCTGTGTGCGTCTGGCGAGGCTTCGCCACGTGGCCGCCCGCCCGTTGCCGCCTCGTTGCCGCCTCGTGCGCCGGGTGGGTCCAGCAAGGTTTCGCATCCTTGCCGCCCGTGGCCGCCTCGTGGCCGCGTCGTGCGCTGTGTGCGTCTGGCGAGGCTTCGCCACGTGGCCGCCCGCTGCCGCCTCGTGACCGCCGTGTGCGCTGGGCTGGTCCAGCGAGATTTCGCCACTTTGGCGTCCATTGACGTGTCGTTGCCGCCTGTGGCTTGTACCACGCTCGTAAGCTGCACCACGTAGTTTGCACCACATCGTTGGCACCACATAGCCTCCACATCCACAGTGCAACAACTTACTGTTTGAGGCCCACGCTGCCTAACACCGTACATATTGGGCAGGCACCCGTGCTGCTGCATTGAAGCTCACGCAGCCGGCCCATCGCGGCCTAGCGGCGCAATCGCGCCGCCCTCACGCGGGCACGAACCAGATAGCGGACGGCGGGCTCGGGCAGCCAGGGAGCTTCTTTGGCGTTGCCCAGTAGCGGCCGCCAGCGGCCGCCACCCTCTGCTTCGCTTCCCGGCGCCACTTCTCAGGGCTGGACTTCTCGCTCGCCGCAACGGGGGCTGTCGCCGCTTGCGCTGAGAAGTCGCGATGCACACCGCACGCGCCGTGCAGGCTGGGCCGACCCAGGCTGGAACTGGGGCAGCCCCTGCGGGGAGGCGCACGGCCTGGCGATGGCAACTTGGGGGGTTATTTCTATTGGGGAGGGTTTACGCACCTGGGTTAACCAGGCTTGGTGTTCCTTTACCTGGCGGGCGCATACCCCATTATTATCATATGTTTGTTTACTTGCCGCCTTTCTTTGCCCGTGGCCCGCCAGGCCAATTTGTATGACCCTTGGCCGAAGTCGGCCTCCTCACGTTTTCCTGGCCACAGTACGCCACGATCATCAGATCCAGGCCCGTGCAGCGTCAAAAAATCTGGCGATGGCCTGTTTAGAGTACCGCTGGCAACGGCGGAGTCGTGAGCGGAGTGGCTCACAGAGTTTGCTTCTGGTGGAGCTGGCGCCGAGGACGTCGAGCTTGTGCTGGGCCTGCGAATACAGCACGCCTCGCGGCTGGGCCTCGGCGGCGGCGCCGGGCGGAAGTTGATGTGCGGCATAGCCGACTGCAAGCACGACGGCCTCTGCAAGGACCTGAGAATGCTTTGTCTCGAAGAAGGAAAAAACGGCATAAAACATAAACTTTGGGCGCCCTGCGCTTCTTGGAGCTGCGCTGGGCCTCCCCGGCGGCGACTCCGGCGCCGCCCCTGGCGCGCTCCGCGCGCCAGGGAGGGGGGTCCAGCGCAGATCCAAGAAGTCCGGGCGGAGCACCCAAACTTTCTGTTGTTTCTGTTTTTTCTTTGCTCGAGCAAGGACCTGATCGCCTTGTCGGCATGCCTACCGCAGGCCGCAGGCGAAGTGAGCTCGCCGAATTGGGCATGTGCGCGGGCCGCGCCCTGGTGCGGATGGGTTTCTTGCAGGGAGGTCTGTGAGCCAACGCTGGCTACCTGTGCTCAGATAGTAGCATCCTATTCGGTTGGAAGAGAAAATCGGGCAGTCGCCTTTTCCACCATGAGATGGCTCCGACACGTGCTCCGGACGCTTCCTAGAAGGTCCACGAGGTTCTTGCGAGCCCCCAACATGGCCCCCAATACGTGCACATCTGCCATTCTTGTCTCGGACGGGGCCAGGACGAGGGCAAATGCGTTCCCGAGCGTCCCAGAACGCTCTCAGAGCGTTGCGGAACGCTCGGGAAAGGCCGCGGCGGTTGAGACATCCTCCAGAGCCGCCGGACCTCAGAGATTCCCGATTTCTCTTTGCCCGACTTGATCCTCGTCCTGGCCTCCTCTGGTCGATTCTATACTTGTCAGGAGCGCCCAGGATCGTCCGAGAACCTCCTCGGTCGTCGGGCCTCGGCTCTCAGAAAAGGAGCGGGCGGCACCCTGCCCTTGGCAAGACGGTGCCCGCGGCCCGGTCGGCACGGCTGCGTCGCAGCCGGCTGTGGCAGGTCGGTTCGGTTCGGCCGGCGGTTGTGCTTGGCATCGCTCTGACGTGTGTGTTTTTTTTGCCAGCGAGGACCATCGAGGAGCATCTTGGGTCATCTGGCAACCAAAAAAAAAACGCGACACCGAAAACTGCCTGTCCCCACCACCCACCGAACCACCCCAACCCAACCCGAAGGCCCCGACTTGCCCTCCATGTCCAGTGCGGGGGGGGGTCGGGGGCCACCCTGGGAAAACACACGTAACCCGTACCCCCACCCCCCAACCCGAAATTCGGGTCTTCGGGTTGGGTTGGGGTGGTCTGGTAGGTTGTCAGGGACGCCCGAGCGATTGCGAGGCTTGCGGCCTGTCGGCCTCGGTGTCGGCCTGGGTTTCGCTGCTGGGTCGGCCTGTCGTCGGCGGAGCCGCCGCCGAAGATCGAGCAGTGGCGAAGCGTCCTGGCTTGCCTGTAGGCTGTAGGCCCACCAAGGAATGTTCTAAGAATCTTGCTTGTGGCCCGCACGAAGGCTCTCCTTAGAACTGTTCTGGCTGAGGCCGTCTTGTTTTCACACTCATCGGGTCCCGATGTTCGGAAAACATCGTTGCCGTTCCCAGAGCATCTTCGGGTTCTCCGAACATGTGTGGCCGAGACCGGTTTGTCTTCACACGTCGGATCTGCGTGATGAGAACATGTTGTGCTTGTTCCTAGAATATGTTTCGTCTTCCGAGGCCATGTTTCGTGGTAGGCCCACAGGAATGTGCGGGGACGGTCGGTCCCTGCTCAAGCAGGCGGCCCTGCCCCTGGTGGCGCTCCCCCCTCGGCGCTGCCCCGGCATCCGGCGGGGCTTCCCGGGAGGGCGCGCGGGCGGCAGGCGGCTCCACGGCCAGCGCGTCGCGGTCGTGGGCGCGGGGCCCGTGGGGCTGCGGCTGGCGCTGGAGGCCACGCTGGCGGGTGCCGCGGTGACGGTGCTGGAGAAGGAGCCTCCTCCTCCTCCTCTTCCTCGTCCTCCTCTTCCTGCTCCTCCTCCTCCTCCTCCTGCTCCTCCTCCTTCGCCTCCTCCTCCTCCTCCACCTCCTCTCTTTTTGTCTCTCTCTCTCTCTCTCTTTCCCTCTCTCTTCCTCTCCCACTCTTCATCTCCCTCTTTTTGGGCCTCCCAGGCGGGGTCGAATGCGCAGATGGGGTCGGAGGAGCACGCTGCATCGCCGATGCATCGGCGATGCGGCTCGATGCGGGGCCCGATGTTATCCACGCCGACGTCGCTGATGCATCGCCAGCATCGCCGATGTATAGGGGATGCGGCGCGACCCTCTGATCCTATCTGCTCGGACCCCATCCGGGAGGCCTCTACTCCTCTCGCTGTCCCAGAGTCAGGCAGCTTTTGTCCACGGCTCCTTTTCCAGGGCCCGCGCACTGGTAACGGTGCGCCTGCCTCCCGCTCGTTCGTTCTTCTTCTGAAACAAGGAGGAGGAGAAGAAGGCGGAGAAGGAGGAGGATACAGGTCGCCCCTTCTACTCATCAAACGGCAGAATATCTGCTGTGTATAGTCGGACTTGGCGTGCGAATCGAACTCACCCATTCAGAAGCAGCTAGTCGTTGCTGCGCATGGATATGCATCCTTGTCTTCTGGTTTTTCTCCAGCGGCAGTTTCCTGAACGATGTTCCTTTGCGCACTTGCAGCGGCACGCTCTTCTGTATGGTTCAGCCACGATTGCACCACTTCATCATCATACTTCTGCTACTGGCGTAGTGTAGAAGAGGGATGCGGACAGGCACGGTTGTACCACAATTCGCCTTCTCCCGTGTGCCGTTTTCTCGGGCATCGGATGCTTGAGGCAAGCGCCTGCGTCCGTGAGCGGCTCCCACACTCCCGAGCATCCGACGTCGCAATTTTTGCACAGCGTGGCTCCCCAGAGGGCCCCAGAGGCTTGGAACCATTCCCGGGTATCGGCGTTTTATCCGAGTCGCTTTTGGGTGGCCCCTGGGACCAGAAGAAGGCCCTTAGTGGGCCCCGGACACGGCAGGGCCGTTTTTTCACCGTTTCCGAAAAAGTGCCCCTTGGAAATGGAAACGGCAAAACAACGCGACCGGAAACGGCAACAAAAACGGCTCCAGGACTGGAACCGGAGCGGGAACCCGTAGAAGAACGGCGACGGAAAGGGTAAAAAGACGGCGTCGGAACCAGCAAAAAAACGGCAAAACGGAACCGGTAAAAAACGGCCCTGTCGTTTCCAGGGCCCACGGCCCTTGGGACCAGAAGAAGGCCCCAGGAGGCAGAACATGCCCAGAAACCTCCCGCCGTGTTCGCTTCACGGCGCGAGGACGTCGGGGCTCCCCCCTCCTCCCCCTCCCCCTCCTCCCTCCCGCTCGACCCCCTCCCCCAATTGTGCCCTCCCACCCCCTCGTCGCGCCAGCCTCCCCTCCCCTCCTCCCGCCCCCTCCCCCTTGTGCACGCGAAGACATGTTCTCTGTCACTTCCGGGAGGGAGGTAGCGCGGCGCTGACACACAGGAGCGGATGCATCCGATCGCAATCCTCCCGTTATGGTCTTCTTGATCCTCTTGGTGTTGTTATTCGTTTGTTTTTCTGTTGTCTGTTATGTTGTTGTGGTGTTATGTGGTTGTTGCTGCTGTGTCATCCCTTTTATGGTTTTGTTTTGTTGTTATTTTTCTCGGGCAGGCTATGGGGCCCTCAGGCCCGCAGAGTTAGGTTCCTCCTCCTCCTCGGCCTTCTCCTTCTCCGAATCATCCTTGGTGACAGGGGCACGATTTCTGCACGCCAAGCTTGTTGGTCCCATCAGTCAGCTCAGGGATCCGTTTTAAGGAGCGCGTCACTCATTCACTCACTCACTCCTCCTCCCTCCTCCTTCTTCATCCTCCTACAACTCCTCCTCCTACTCCTCCTCCTGCTCCTGCTCCTCCATTGGTCTTCCCCATACATATTGGATCCTTGTCGCACCCCCAGGCGTGTGGGTATAGCAGACCAGGCGTTTCGCCTCAGACTTCTTCACCACTTGCGATCCTGAAGCTTGAAACTTGCAGCGGCTGCAACGATGGAGGGGTGTCGTTTTCATAATGGACCTCTCGCTCAGCGTCGCGCACATTCGGCCCAAACGTTTGCAACAGCTTCGAGGATGGAGGGGGGGCGGTTTTCAAGATGTGGTTCCCGGCTTAGCGCCGCGCGCATTCGCTTGTAACATGTGATACGGCTCCAAGGATGGAGGGCTTAGGTGCCTCGAAACGCCCGTTTTGAAACGCAACACGTCCCGTTTTCAAGACGTCCGTGTCAATACGTTGCGTGTTGGCTCCACGTATTAGACCACGTTTTGGCGAATGTATCGCGTCGGACCTACGTTTTCAGCCTACGTGTTGAGCTCCGTATCAATACAATACGTGTTGCGTAGTGCGTATCGGAGCAGCTGAGATGGAGGGGGGTCGTTGCACAAGGGTCAGGGATGGATGAGGGCCCCTTTTCAGAGTGGGGTCTCTCGCCCCAGCGCGCCGCGCACACTCGTCTCAGACATGTTCCGCAGGTGTGCGGACGGCTTCATCAGTGGGAGAGGGCCCCTCTCGCCTCCCTCATCCATGCCCCCCATCTCCTCCCTCCTCTCCCTCCCATCCCTCGTCGCACTGCGGTCGGACCGAGGCATATAATATAAGCGAGGTCGGTCCCAGAAGGGTACCCGGATATTATTGTTGTGCTTGCTCGATGTTCTTCTGCATCTTGGGGGAAAGCACTCTCGAATGTTCTTTAGTTTGGGCCCGCAAAGGGCCGCATGTTCTTTCAGGATATTATTCTGTCCCAGGTCCGACTGCACAGTGAATCCGCAACATAAGGATGGGCATCCTTCCCGAGGGTACCCTTACATCCTTGCCTCTCCGGCCCATCCTTGGCCACTTTCGTTGGCCGCGCCCCGCTCGAAAAGCTTCGAAACGGCCTTCCAAGGCCCTTCCATCCTTTTCGTGCATCCTTTTGATACGGGCCGACTGTAGATGGGGTCGGAGGATGGCGCCGCATCGCCGATGCAATGGCGAGGCGGCTCGATGCGGAGCCCGGCTCTCGCCACGCCGACGGCGCCAAGACATCGCCGACATCGCCAATGCGTCGCCGATGCATCGCCGATGCGGCGCGATCCTTCGACCCCGCCTACTCCGACCCCATCTAGGAGGCCTTTAGTCAAGGGACGGGGGTCAGTGCAAACGGGGATCAGTCAGAGCGCCGGAGCTTGCAGGACGCTGCAGGGCCAGGGGCACGCTGACCGGAGCTTGGGCGCAGGATCCTGCTGGATCTTCCAGGATCTTGCAGGATCCTGCAAAGCCTGATGACCCTGGTCTGGATCGATCTGGGTTAGTAGATCTCCGATACGTGAGGGGGAAGGAGAGAGGAACTGTCCTGCTGGGGAAGAGGAGGTTGGAATAATTTTATCCGTTGGACCACCTACGGACAAAGGGCTGGTGGGAATTTCTCTTGGAGATGGTGGCACCGCGACCGTCGTATTCACTGTCGCGTGACACCGGCTTGTGCATGACAGTAGACAGAAGCCCTTTCGCAGCAGATGGTAGAGGATGCTGAGGCGAGTAGGAACTGTCCATCCTAGATCCCGAGGTCAGCGAGGGTTGGGAGGGAGGGTGAAGGTAGGGGGTTGAGCGGCCGGCCCTCAGTGGGCTCTCTGGCTCGTATTGTCGTGTTCTCGCGGCAGCCAGTTCCCTCCTCTTCCTCCTCCTCCTCCTCCTCCTCCTTCTCGTGCTGTTCCTGTTGCTGCCCTCCCCTTGCCGCGGAGACGCCCGTGGAGATAGTAAAAAAGCCGGCCCCCAGCGCGGCGAGTTCGCGCGGATCAACAGGCTGCCAAGGGGGATTATTATCTGTAATTTCTTCTTTCCCCATCTCCTCCTTCTCTTCCTCCTCCTCCTCCAGCTGCACATTATCTTAAGTTCTCTGCTCGTCATCCGCTTCCTCCTCCTTATCATCATTCACCTCCTTCTCATCACCACCATAATCATCATCATCATCATCATCATCATCATCATCATCATCATCATCATCAGCAGCAGCAGCAGCAGCAGCAGCATCAGCATCATCATCATCACCTGCCCCTTTCTCATGTTCACTTTACTCTTCCTCCTCCTCCTCCTGCTGATTCGTGTGCTGGAGCAGGTTTAGCTCAAGTCTTTGACGGTTCTCCGAGACCGCGCACACACCGCTGATCCGCGGCTCGCCAGACCCCTCTCGCCGGGTCCGCCCCCGGCCGAGCCGCCTGCTGGCCGCGGCACGCGCTGCACGGGCTTCACGCTGTTCGTGATCTCCTGGAGGAGCAGGCGCCGGCTACGGCGTCTCCGTGGCGCCGCCGCCGCCGGGGTTCGACGGCACCGCGAGGGCCCCGGAGGCCCCCAGGTGGGAGCCGCGACGGGGCGGGCCGCCTCGTCTCCGCCAGCGGGGGAGCGTGGCTCCCGCTCGGGCGGCGGCGGCGCGGCGAAGCACGCAGGCATGCGCGTCCCAGCCCCGGAGGCACAGGATCGGCGCCACCCCAGCATGCCACTACGGTGGGGGCGTCGCCCCCCCCCCCCCCCCAAAGGGGCGACGCGCGCACCGAGAAATCTTCCAGCGCATGCGTCGTGGGGGGGGGCGATTTCTGGCCACGGCGCTCGGGGAACGATCTACTACAAGATGGGTATACCACATGTTCGGGTCGGACGCGCGCCTCCAAGGGGGACACATAGTGCGAGTATGTCCCCATGCGTCCCACAGGAGGCAACTGGCGGGAAGTCTGGTGGCGGGGGCTCGGGCATGGTTTCGGCGGAACTCTCCGACTGGACGGCGGCCATCGAGAAGCGGTCGGTGCCCGCGTGCCGCCTCAGATGGGAAGCATTGCCTGTGGTGTGCTGCAGTTTCAGGCTCCGCGCATTGCGTACGGTGCGTAGTGCTGCGGATAGCACTGAGCCGAACCGACCGACTGATTGTAGCATTCCAGCGTGTTATAGAATCAGCCATGCGCGGTCATCCATCATCCCTCTTCCTCCTCATCCTTCTCGTCCTACTCAGAATCATTGTCATCCTATCGTCGTCATTGTGTTCTTGCTCCTCCTCGTCCTCCTCCTTCCCCCCCTCATCTCTGCTCCTCCCCCTCCTCTCCTCGTCTTCCCTACCCAATCCGTGTGTGTCTCTACCTCTCTCCGTTCTCGCCCGCTTTACTGGTTTCGATCGCGCTGGCTCTTGGTCCGCTGATCATGCTGCCTCCCAGCCGCTCCCCATGCTGGCGATGCTCGGGCGTGACTAGGACGAGGAAGAATCCGTTCCAGAGTGTTCCGGAACGCTCTCGGAGCGTTCTGGAACGCTCTGAGAAGGCTGCGGCGCCCGAGACATCTTCTGGAGCCGCCAGATCCCAGAGATTCTGGATCTATCCTCATCCGATGTTATCCTCGTCCTGGCTTCGTCTCAGATGTCCCTCCTCCCCCCGCGCCTTCCCGCGACGGGAGGCTCCACCTGTGGGACTGGGTGAAGCAGGACCTCATTGCTTGGGGCGCCAAGCTCTTCTCCCCGCCCGGAGGCCGCACGGCGCCCCGCCTCGTCTGCAGTGCGTTCCCCCTCCTCCTCCTCCTCCTCCTCCTCCTCCTCCTCCTCCTCCTCCTCCTCCTCCTCCTCCTCCTCCACCAATCGATTTCCTTATAAATCACTTCTCCCTGTTGTCGCACCCCGAGGCCAGTTTGTAGGGCGGGCTGGGCGTTTCGCCGCAGACTTCCTCCTCACTGTTGGCCCTGAAGCGTAAACATTGGCAACAGCTTCACAGATGGAGGGCGGGTCGTTTTCAAAATGTGGCTCTCACCTTAGCGCCGAACACATTCGCTTTCAAAGTGTGCTTCACTGATTGAGGGCGGGTGGTTTTCAACACGCACATTCGCCTGTTTGTAAAAAATGCAAGAATTTCAAGAATTGTGGGCGGTTCCTTTCCGAAATGTGCCTCTCGCCTCAGCGCCGCGCATATTCGTTTTCTGCTGGTTTAAAAGATTGCTAGAGTTCCACGGAGCCCCATGGTCAACGTACCAGAAATAATTTTCTGGGAGGATTCAGGATTATGAGAGTGCAACAGTTGCGTTGATTCGCAGTGTTGAAGTCCCAGGGATGGCGTCCTGGCAATATTCAGGATCGTCAAGACGCAACAGTTAGGATCCCGTGGCGTTGGAATCCCGAGAACAATGTTTTAGCATGCTTCAGGGTCTTCAAACCGTTGTCTTCCAACGAGGCAGTTCCCTCATTCGACATGCACCGATGTAGAGGCCTATGAAGAGGGAGCTTGGAGGGAGGGTTCCTTCCAACACCGTTGATGACTCTTGGGTTTACACTGCTCCTCCTCCTCCTCATCCTCCTGCTCCTCCTCCTCATTATCATCATCCTCAGCAGCATCATCCTCATCAGCATCATGCTCACCATCATCATCAGCAACATCGTCATCAGCATCATCATCATCATCATCATCATCATCATCATCAGCAGCAGCAGCAGCAGCAGCAGCATCATCATCCTCTGTTTAACGTTGGCCGAACGTTTCTCCTCTTCCTCCTCGTCCTCGTCCTCCTCCTCCTCCTCCTCCTCCTGCTCCTCCTCCTCCTGCTCCTCCTCCTCCTCCGCCCGCGCCGCCGCCTGTCGACGTCGCGGTGTTCCGCGACCAGCTGCTCCTAGACAGGTCAGGCTAGGACCGCCCGCCCCGCCACCCGCCAGGGCAGCGGTGTAGGCGAGCTCGCTGACGCTCCCTCTCTGCGTTGAGTTCCTCCCGCTCATGCAAGCCCGTTGCCTGACCTCTTCCGGTTTCCTGGTGGCACCCTTCGTGTCGTTCAGCTCCAGTTCCCCTAGATTCGGCCGCGGCAGCAGTGTCGTTCCTCCGCCTCCTCCTCATCCTCCTCCTCCTCCTCCTCCTCCTCCTCCTCTTCCTCCCCTTCCTCCTCCTCGTCCTCCTCCTCTTCCTCCTCCTCCTCCTCCTCATCTTCCTCCTCCTCCTCCTCTTCCTCCTCCACGTGCCACAGCAGCCAGGGGATCCACTACGAGAGGGACTTCTACGTGGCTGGCGGGCTGCTGGGACTCCCCTGTGGTCGACCGATCGCCAGGCCCGAGCACTTCATCCCGACACACGACCTGGTCGAGCTGCCGCTCAAGGGCGAGGGTGGCTGGCTCACGGTGCGCTTTTCGCGTAGGCCTCCGCGGCTGGCCTCGAGCCGAGCCGCCAGGCTGGGGGCCCACCCGCACGCTTGCGCGCGGTGCGCTGGAGCGTGTGCAAGGTGAGCCCCTCCCGATGTAGCAGCGGCAGGTCGTGGTCGACGGTGCTCACGCTGCGTGGCCACGCGCGGCCCGCCTCGACCCTGGCGGCGTCGTCGACGCGGCGCCCCAGGACTTGGCCTAGTCGGGCGGCGGCCTGTCTGTCGTCGACAAGCCCCTGGAAATGGTGCTGGCCACGCCCAGGAACACCAGAGCGCGGGCGAGCACGGGCTTGCGCCAGCTGAGTGGTCGGCTGCACACACACACACACACACACTGGCAGGCCTGATGGCGGCTTCGTTTGGCGGAGGCCCTCGGCGGCTAGCCATCTGCAGGAAGGAGCTGGCGCGGTTGCGCGAGGCCCTCCAGCAGCGCGGGCACTCTGCGTTCCACTACGACAAGCAGCGCGACTGGGCCGTCTGGCACGCGCTCCTCGGCCACTTGCGTGACGCCAGTGATGATGGGCCCATTTTTCCACCACACCAACCATAGGTAGGAGAGGGAGGAGGAGGAGGAGGAGGAGGAGGAGGAGGAGGTGGAGGAGGAAGATGAGGAGGAGGTGGAGGGGGAGGAGGACGAGGGCGAGGGCGAGGACGAGGACGAGGACGAGGACGAGGACGAGGAGAGGGATGAGAAGGAGGAGGAGGAGGCGGAGGAGGAACTCATCCTCCCTTCTCCCCCGTCCTACATGTGGTACCCAGACCCCCGACGTCGTGATTTTTTCATGACGTCGGCCTCCAGAGGTCTGGACCCCTTCCCCATGACCAGTTTTTCGTTCTGAGTCGTTTTTTGGCCGTCCAGGGGCCCGGCGAAGGCTGAAAATAGCGAACAATTTCCCGCCGTGACTTTTCACGACGCGAGGAGGTCTGGGTGGCGGTGGTGGAAAATCTGCCCCTCAAGTGAGGCCTCTGGGGGCCCTCGCCGGGCCCTGGGAGCGTCAAAAAACGTCTCGGGATGCAGAACCGGTCCCGGGGAAGCGGGACCTCTGGGGGTCGACGTCGCGAAGACATCACGACGTTGGGGGTCTGGGCTTGGCGCTGGACAGCGCCCCGGCGGCGCGACTGGCGGCCCCAGAGGCGCGCTCCCGTCGGCCCATGGAGGGGGGCACCCCGCGCCGGGAATGGACTCGCCGCCCGCGCGGGCGCTGACCGAGTGCCGGCCCAACTCTCGGGAGGGGAAGAAACACACAGACACAATTGATCGTCGACTACCAGGAAGAGGTTGGGAAACATGGGAAGCGGGGGGGAAGAGGCGAGAACACCGCAAATGTGGGAAAACAGAGGGGGAATCCTGGGACTTGTGTCTATTCATATGTGTGTCCCAGGACCCCTTTATCAAAGAAGGGGCCTCGCGGCGGGCCGAGATAAACAAAAAAACTGCTCGGCCAGCCCGCCCGCGGGCCCTGGGGGCCCCCTGTGGCGGGGAGGGCCGGGCAGCCCTGGAGAGGCGCTGAAGGTGGCCCCATAAGTCTGCACGCGCGAAATGGGTACTGAAAGAGTGGGTACAATGCCCAACAGCGGATCTTGTTCAGTTTGAACAGGGCTCGCTGTCCACGCCGCCGCGGCCTGTGTCCATTCGAGACAGGAGGCCGCCTGCCCAACAGCGGCCGCTGTTGGTTTGGGACAACATTTGCTGTTGGGCATAGTACCCATTTTTTCGGTACCCATGTCGGGCGTCCAAAATAAGTGGAGGAGGCCCAAGATGCACCGCCGCGGAGAGGCCGCCAGCGCGGCCCTGGGTCTTGCGGGCCCAGGGGCCGCCAGCGCGACCCGAGACCTGAGGTATCTGTTTACCCAAATCTAAGTCGGGCTTGTCCCTCTACAGGAGAAATATTCAAGAATCGTCAAAAACAAAAGCCTGGGGACGATTTTTACTATCAGATGTTTAAACTAATTTTGATCATGTTGGACAATGGTTCATTTTTCTTTCAAAATCCGCCTGTGAGAGAACATGCCCGACCTAAGCCCAGGGGCCACCAACGCGACTCGAGACCTGATATACTAATTTCTGTGACCCGGAAGCCTCCGTGCTGGCTCCGTTCCTGGGGCGCCGGGGAGGGCGCCAGAGCCGCCCCAGACCCGCTCGCGCTGTGAACAAAAATCACGACTGGGAGGGTTTTCGCGATGTTCGGCCACTGGGGGCCCTCACCGGCCTTCGGGGACCGCCAAAAATGGGTCAGAACGAGAAGCCAGGGGGCCCAAACCTCTGGGGGTGGTACAAGTCGCCTTGGGCGGTTTTGCGAGGAGGAGATTGGATTCTTGCTCAGCGGCCCCTCTTGGGACAGCTGTACGGAGCTGGCACAAGGCTCCAGTTTCTCCCGGCCACAGCTGGGCCCTTTTACAGCTGGCCCCAGCGGCCAGACCTTGGCTTGGTGAAGGAAAAACCCTCTTCCTCCTCCCCGTCCTCCTCCTACAGCGTTGCCTTCATCGAGCTCCATCGTCTACATCCTCCCGGCCCCGGGCATGGTTGGCTCTCTGATCTTTCCATCCCTCACGCAGCTGAGGCACCCAGGAAGGCACAGCTCGTGTGCACACGCGGACAAATGTAACCCTCGAGCTGTTGTGGTAAATAGAGTTCCAGTCGCCGCGCGCGTTCGACTCTCCGGACGCCTCCTACTCCCTCCATCTCAATCAGCGAGCCTAACGCCTTCCCCCGCACCCCATCCACCCACGCACCGTTCCAGCCACCCACTTACAATCTGCCACCCACCTCACCCACCCACCCCGTCCAGTTAACATTGAGAAGCCGTGACAGTCCCCGCTCACTTGGACTTGGAAGAAGCATCTCGCCCTCGTCCCTCCTGCAGGGGATTCCCCTATATCCCAATCGGGTATTAGCACGAGACGCCCAATACGGTCGGGCACTTTTGAATAGCGCGTTGCTCCACTGGCTGTGGCCCACCGCGTTGCGGCGCGACGCGCTATCCATTGCCCAGTCCCGAGGCGTCAAGGTCCCGAGCTTTCTCGAGCTTTCCGCCCCGCGGAGCCGAGCGAAGCGCGTGTCGCCGGGGCCGCCGCGGCGACGCGCCATGCAAAAGGTCCCTACCGTAATGTCCTTCCACTGGCCGCCATACGGGTTCCGCGAAGAGGCCCCGCACAGGTTCCCAAGAAACATCGGTTGCTCTTGCCGTGACCTGCGCCGGGTAGAAGGCCCCGTCTCTGCGTGCTGCCGCCCGCATGCACGTGACCCATGGTGTTGATGATGTGCACAGTGCAGATGGAGTGATGGACGTGCCTGCTGTGCTTAGTACGCAGAGCTCGTAGAGCTCTCGGTTCGAGCCCGTGCGGGTAGAGGCATCCGGGCGCAGGGGGGAGCCCGTTGGCCGACCAGACCAGAAGGGAAGGTGTGGTAATTGGGGCCCGGTTTTCGCAAGAGTGCCGAACCGGTACGTTTCACTGCGCTCATGCCTCAAACGAGCATATTGTTCTGCTGTGCTTGAGGAGAATATCACAAGTCTCCCTCTGGCATCCTCGGCCGTTCCTGGCGCCGCGAACACGTCAGGGACCTCCTCTGCGGGGTCCCCAGCGGTAGCCAGGTTGACGGTTTACCGCTGGCTGCCAGCGGCTTGCACGGCAAGTATTTCATGCACCCCACCTTACGTCACGCGGGTCTCTGGTGCTTGCGGCCGTTCGCGCGCGCCCGATCACCGTCGATGCTCGACGGGCCTGGCCTCCTTGCACCCTTGGCCTCCGAAGCCATTCTCTGCTTCTCCATGCGCTCCGGCCCGGCCCGCTAGCTCTGCAGTGGCGCTCGCGTCTGCCAGCGCTGCGCGCAGAGGAGGGCGCGGCTTGCGTCTGGTGCCTGGGGGTGCATTGCGTGCGTGGTGCGCATGGCATGTATGGTGCGCTCTGCATCTGCACTTGGTGATTTGGATGTATATGCGCGATGCCTGGCATGACCGTGCCGCCGACACGCGGGCCGTGCCCATTGGTTGGAGCGGCGTTCCGACCGACACGCGCTGATCTTTACAAACTAGTGCATTCAACGCGTAAGTGTTGAAGCCTTGCCTTTTTCGAAGCGATGGCTGCATAGGCAAGCGTCTAACGTGTCGCGCATTGCGCTTCCTGAGTAGGACTCTTTCCCATGTCCTTCCCCTTATTCCAAGTACGGGCGCTTGCGATTGATTTAACGCCAGAGTCTATGTCGCAGAGGAAGAGGAGGAGGACGACGACGAGGATGACGAGGATGAGGAGGAGGAGGAGGCCGGGCAACAGTAGAAGGGCGGTGGAGAGGGAGGAGAGGAGTTGGAGGGGGGAGAAGGAGTGGCCGAGGAGTGGCCCGAGGAGTGGCCCGCCTGATGTAAATTTCAAGGGTGCCGCGACAGAACCGAATGGCGCGTAGTGTGGTAAGCACATGGGTGTTTGTCTGGTCATACGTGCTTATATGCGTTGTCGAGGTCATGCTGTCAAGCGGTGTGTAGATGTGTCCTCTTGCAGGAGTAGTTTCGCCAGCGCCACCATGCATCCGGAGCGTGCAAAGGCACTCGCAAACACCTGACATGCACGCCTGGCATGCGGATTCTGGGCCAGTGAGCGTCATCAAGGGCTTGAGCTATTTTCAATATCGGGCCCCTGTCGGAAACCCAGCGCGATCTCCGCGCGACCTTTAGAAAGGCAAGTGCATTGAGCAGTGCCCCCGCTGCTCTTGTAAAGTGAACGCGCTCAGCTCATTGTGCATTATGTCGTTCGTTGTCTGTTAGTTCTCCTATCAGACGCCATAGTAATAAACCGATATTCAGCCAAGCCAACGTGAGGGAGCCAGGTGTTGCGTTTAAGTATGTTGAAAGCAACACATGTTCCGCCGCATGGTCCTCGGGAAACCCGCAAAGGCAGCTTTGGCGCCGACAAGGACTACTGCCACATCGGCATATCGGAGCTCCAGCTGCTGCTGCTGAAGTGCTGCCTTCTGCTCGGGGTCTCCGTCGAGATGGGTCCCATCGCAGCCGCCCGCGCCCCTCTTGTGATACTTCTGACGATATTTGCGGGCGGGAGCTTTTGGGTAGCGTGTCGCGCCGTCTGCTCTGGCCCACCGAGTCCCCGAGCGTCCACGCGCCGATCCCCTCCCGACCTCCCGCCCCGCGGAGCGGAGCGACTCGCCGTCCGCTCGCAGGGCATCGCGTGTCGCCGGGGCCGCCGCGTCGACACGCTGAACAACAGTTCCCGACCGCATGTCTGTCTCGCTGGGCAGGTGCTCTTCCAGCACTGCGTTGAGCCATGAGGTCGCCGCACTGTGCTGGGTCCGCTCGCGCCTCCAGATGACCGTTCGGAGGCGGGCCGGCCTCGAAGGCGCTGCAAGTTTCTCTCAAGGCGTTCGGAGCATGTCACCGGCCGGAGTGAAGCGATGGTGTCTCTCATGGGTGTCACGGGCTTGCACCTTGAGCATGTTTGCGCGATGAATAATGGCAATGGCCTGCCATGTGGCGGGTTTCAGGCAGGGCCCCGCCTTCGAGGATCGAAGGAGTTGGCATCTCTTCTTCGAGGGAAGGCGGCGGAAGGGCGGCGGAAGCCGTCGGAAGTAAAACGAGGGCGGCTCCGCTGGCGGAGGCTGGCGGGATGCCAGCGGACGTAAGAATTTGCCATCCAAGAGTTGCCAGTTTTCTTAATTCAGGGTTTCTGGAACACACCATGTATGTGTCTTGAGTCCCATCGCAGCCTTTCAATGATGGAGCGTCGCCCAGAGAAGGTATGTTTGTGCACAGCGTCCGTCGAGCTATTCAATCGCCGTGGCACGTTCCGCATGTCATGTGATGTGAGTGCGATGTGCGCCCTGCGTACCGCTTGAGAGGTGGACCCTCACTGCATATGTAGTCAGTGGGGGTTTCTGTCGTCCTTATGGGTGTCCGATACCTTTGCGCGCCTGGTCCGCCTGGTCCTATGCCTCAGTGCGGCGCCTGATCTGTGCCGATGTGGTATGTGTGTTGTTTTGCTACTTGTGCCCTGGGGACGCGTATCTGTTTTCATCAACGTTGAGAGCTGGGACGCCTATCTCGCATAGCCATTGGTGGCGCGGCACGTTGGCGCATATGGAGTGTAATTCGTGAATTGTTGGTCCACAGGCTGTGTCAATCCTGTTTCTGTGTATCGGTCCTTGCCGGCCCATTGCAGACTTGTCGCCCGACTGTTGGTGCACGGAGGTGTCGAGTTTCGGACCGCCAGCCACGTGCCGAGCGAGCAGACGTGGCGGGTGCAGACGGAGCCCCCTTTGGAAGGCTTTCCGCGCTGCCCCTCCTCCGCGCAGCAGGGGTGCAGTAGGCACACCGAATATGAAACCTGCCTGCCAGCTGGTGTCCCGCGAGAATGTCTTCTCCCCGGTTGGGCCCGAGCACCCCTGGAGCTCCCATGTGAAGCTCGAATTCGACAATGGATGTAAGCAACCAATTTTTTGGTCGCAGGGTTTCTCTCGTATGCGCAGGAGTGTTGGCCGACATTTCGATCGCCTGCAGTCACATGGAGGATGCCGTGGCCGGCGTGTCGTGGAAACGCGCCGATCTGGGCCACACCTGGGGCCCTAGGCCCTCGAGTTCCCCGCTCCCCCCCCTGCGAACCACGCCGACGTCGAGAATCTAGGCCGGCGCGCATGTTATACTGTGTCGCGAAGATGCGTGTCGACAGGGGGGCCCCTTGGATTGGCGGCGAGCGAGGGGGGAAGTGCGAAGGAGAAGGCCTTCTCAGAAGTTCGGAAGTCCCCTTGCCTCCTGAGAAGTCTTCTGAGCCCCCCCCCCAGAGACATAAGAAGCTTCTCAGAAGGCGCGAGGGCTTCTGAGAAGTCCCGCCGCCTTTTGAGAAGGCCTTCCTCTTCTCCCCAGAGATCCGATGTCGTGATTTGGTCAATACGGGGTCCCCGGAAGTCTCGACCCATTCCCCATGAACGGTTTGTCATCCTGAGTCGTTTTTTGACGGTCTTGGGGCCCGGCGAGGGCCCCTAGAGGCTGAAAATTGGGAAACAAATCCGCCTTGATGTGTTCAATGCGTTCGACCTCTGGGTACGTTCCTCCCCTTGCTCGCCGCGGATTGGAGGAGCGCACGTGCGCGCGCGCGGTGCGCACGCGAGCGCACCTCCAGGGCTGTACCTCGGTTCGGCTTCGTTTTGCGGTAAAGGCGGACTCGAGACAACCGCGAGGGAAAACGAAAACGTAAACGCAAGACACCGTTTAGGTTCAGCCCTGCGCACCTCCGGTCCGTCTTCTGCACGGCGGCACGCAGAGAGCGCCCCGGGCTCGCGCCCTGCCGATGGGCGAGGCCCGCGCGGGGGGGCCCCCGCGCGGGCGCCCCAAGGGAGCTGCTGTTAAATCGGGCCTGTCCTTCTACAGGGAGAAATTAGCCTGACGAAGGACCCAACCATATGCAGTTGTGAGTACCGCAGTTGTGAATATAGTCCTCGGTGGAGCTCCTTATGGGGCCACGAACTGTGTGAGGGGCCTGCCACAGTGGTGGTGGTGGGGAACCGCATGTGGGCACCCCCACTGGGGCCTTCGGTGGAGCTCCCTATGGGGCCACGAAGCGCTGCCCTGGGTGGGGGAACCGCATGCGGGCACCCCCAGGGGAGGAGGGGGGAGGGGGAGGAGGAGGAAGGAGGAAGGAGGTGGGACGCGGGGCGCTGTCTCTTCAAAACGAGGACCCAACACCACAGGATGGTTGGGAAAAATTCGAACCTCCCCCTCCCCCTCCCCCTCCCCCCCTCCCCCCTCCCTCCCCCTCCCCCCTCCCGCCTCCCCCTCCCCCCCTCCTCCTCCTCCTCCTCCTCCTCCTCCTCCGCCTCCTCCTCCTCCTCCTCCTCCTCCTCCTCCTCCCCCATGCCCCTCAGTCTGGGGACGGTGTTTGGTCTATTTCTGGCCATGCTTGAACATGTTTTGACTCTTTTCTATTTGTCGCGGAAGATCCGCCTGCAGGAGGACATGCCCGACCCAAAGCTGCTGCCGCGAGGACGACGGGGGAGCGCGAGGAGGCGGGAGGCCCAGACCTCCCCGCGAGGTGAAAAAGTCACGACGGGGAATTGTCTCTGCCATGTTCAGCCTCCGAGGGGGCCCTCACCGGGCCTCGGGACTTCCGAAACACGGCTCAGGATGAAAGACCGGTCCCCGGGGGTCCAGACCTCTGGGGGTCGACGCTGCGAAAGAATCACGACGTCGGGGGGGGTCCGGGGGAGGGGGGCTTGGTCTCCCCTTTGGTTGGTTGGTTTGCTGTGGTGAGGCCCCCAGGTGGGCAGGCATGGTGAGGTCTCGGGCAGGCCTCGACGGCGGAGGGGCCACGGAGCCTACAGCCGTCTGCCGACGGCGGCCTCCGCAGCCCCTCCCCCCGGGGAGGATGGGCCGCCCCCCGGAGCGCGGGGGCGGCCAGGGGTCTGAGGTGGCCCATCGCGGATTCCAGCCAGCAGGCGGCGGCTCGAGGTCTTAGCCATCTAGGTTCCGAGCTCCTCCTCCTCCCCCTCCTCCTCCTCCTCCTCCTCCTCCTCCTCCTCCTTCTCCGGCTGTGAGGGGTTCCGAGCTCTAGGTTCAGAAAGGCTTGTGTTGCCTTCCTTTCGGTCCCCGCCGGGGCCGTCTTCGGGCCCCGGGGGGACCGTCAGAAACGGATCCGCGGGGCGAAAGAAACTGCACCAGAGGGACCCTGGGAAGGTTCATGGGGACAGATCTTGAGCGCATTTGCCTTCATCCCTCCTCCCCCTCCTGGAGGGTTTCTCCGAAGGGCTTAGGCGACCCGTCCTTCTCCTCCTCCTCCTCCTCCTCCTCCTCCTCCTCCTCCGTAGCCATTTTGGCTCAAGGCAATGAACCGTCCCGACGACCGCGAGTCTCACGGGGCGAATTCTGAGCGCGAGGGAGGTTCCGCTTTGAGGCCACTCTCCAATCCTATCTTCCTGTGCCTGATTTTGCTCTCGTGCCTTCACTGCGGGAGTTGGGCCCCCGCCAAGACTTCTGTGTGGAAGCTGCTCCGATGGGTTTGCCTCCTGAATATGAGTGTCAACGTCTTGCTGATGAGTTGGAGGCTACCCCCACGTTTCCCACACAAGAGCGTATGGTCGGCACCGGCAAGGGCGGCAAGGGTGGTGTGTCTAGTGTTGCTGGCTCTCGACCTGCTGGGCCCCCGCCCACCAAGAGGCGCACCCCTGCAAACGGAGATGTTGTCACTGGAGAGGAGGATGAATGGGATGGAGATGACTACATGCGGGAGTTGTGCAAGGCTGAGTTGCTTCCCCTTATCGAGGAATGGAAGGCCCATGTCAAGGATGAGCTGGGCAGGTCCGTCAAAGAGTCCGTCGCTGCGGGCAACAAGACTGTACTCGAACTGCTCGAAGCTGTTCGCCAGACGGTGCAGGACAATCAAGCCACTATGGATGAGAAGATTCTGTCAGTTGTCAGGCCGCAAGTTGACGATGTGTCTCGTCGTCTTCAGGCCCAGCTGGATGCACAGCGTAACCGTATCGGTGAACACGACCGCCGCCTCGAGGCGCACGACACGGCGATCGACACCCTCAACCGTCGCCTGGATGACATGCAGCGTGCATTGGCGCTCGCCAGTGGGAGACCTCAGCCACCTCCGCGGGTTCCTGCAGGCTTCGACCGTGGCATCGACGGCACGATCGTGGTTGCAATGGCGCAGAAACACACTACGGTTGCCCATGTACGTGGAACCCTGCAGCCATTTATCAGTGGGCTGGGATATGAGTCGACTGAATATGAGATCAAAGCATCAGGTGATGAACCTTCCAAGCGCTTCGTGGTTGCATTCAAAGGAGCCGTGGCCCCTGCGACGCGCAAGGCGCACACGGTGCTGCAGAACCTCAAGGTGGACAAGCAGTGGAGGGAGTTCACAGTCGGCGTCACAGGCTCGGCTGACTGCAGGCTCTTCCTCGGACCAGACAGAAGTCCGAAACAAATCAAGACAGAAATACTACTTCGGCGGTGCCGCTCGGAGATCGCGAATGTGTACCCTCAGGCCAAGCTATTCTCGGACCGTGAGCGAGGATGTCTGCTGGTGGGCTGGGACAAGATTCTCAAAGTGGAGGTTGGCGCGGGACAGGATGAATCAAAGCTCCATTGGGAGCCCAACCGTATCACGAAGAACAACATGGACATCGAGCGACTGCGGGCATGCACCAAATGCTTGGTCGATCCTGCAGCAGAGGAACAGTGGTGTCTTTAATGTGTGGCATCTATTTCGTCATTGTGCCCCTCGTGATGGGGTACCCCCACGTTCACTACGATTCGCCCCATGGAACTGTCGTTCGCTACTGCAGGCTGGCGGGCAGAAGTCCAGCCTGAAGAAGCACTACCTCTCGCGCTTGCGCTTGCAGGAGACAGTGGTGGCCCTCCAGGAGGTTCGCTAAGATGAGGTCCAACTTCAGTCATATCTACGTGCCATCGACCCTACCTTGCACATTGAGTCATCATTCGGGGACTCGCTGATTCGCGGAGGAGTTGCAGTTTTGATTCCACCATGGTTGTCTTCAGCAAACGGGGAGACTCGTGTTGAGTCGCAGCCTGTGGTGGCAGGCAGGGTCATTCGAGTTGCCATTCTTGCGCCAGAAGCTGAGCTCATCATATATAATGTACACAACCACGAGCTTGATGCTGATACTGTTCGTGCCGTCGTTCGTCGAATTCGATCTGATCTCCCATATGCGGAGGAGTTCACAGACAAAGTATTGGTGATCATACTGGGCGACTTCAACTTTGCGGCGGAGGAGGCGCTCATCCTGGATTCACCTGTGGCCGCGGTGAAGCAGTCGGAGCGGCGCCATCATGGACGCGCTGCGATCTGGAAGCAAGCCTTGGGGGGGCATGCTTGAGCTCGAGCACTCGCTGCCGACGCACTTCGATCGCCATGCGGGCACGGAGGCGGCGATTGACCGCATCTTCGCCAGCTGGCAGGCCTGCCAGCTGTATGTGATGGCGTCGACGCTGGACGCCCTTGCATGTGTGTCGGATAAAGGGATTTCGGATCATGCAGCTGTTATTGTTTCTCTGACCCCACGCAGTGCACGACTGCCAGAGACTAGGTGCGTGCCCAAGCATGTGTGTCAGGACCCTTGGTTCCAGAAGAGGTTGGCGGGGCTCGCGTCGGACTCTAAGTGGGATCTCTTGTCGCCCCCCTTCCAGCTGGAGCACTGCAAGGGCCTCGCGAAGATCGCAGGGGAAGAAACCAGAGACCATATGTTCAAGACCCTCCCCGAGCACCCCAAGACCCTCCTCCTGCTCTCCAGGGTGATTGCGCGAGTGATCTGGCGTCAGGACTGGCAACTGGCCTCTCGCATCTTAGCGTCGCATAGCTTGGCAGCTGCGCATATGAGGGTGGATGGGCATGCTGCGGCACTACTTCATCCTCCGTCGTTCCAGCAATGGTGTGCGCAGGTACAGCGGGATGCTGCTGACCTGGAGCGGTCTGCGTTATCCTCGTTTGCCTCGGCATCGACCCCTGGGGCTTGCTCGCGATCGACTCGAATGCAGCTCAGAGCTCTAGAGAGAAAAGCTCGGTTGTGGTCTCCCATTGGTCGTCGACTTGCTTTGACGTGTGTGCGTGAGTCTCTTGATCATGTTGCCACGGATCCCCAGGAGAAATTGAGAGTTCTAGGTCAATACTGGGGCCCTGTATTTGCTAAGAAATCTTGGGATCGAAATACTGCATGCACCTATATTCGACAGTGGCTGCCGCCAGTTGGAGATGTTCATCTTCCTCCGCCTACCCCTCGACTTCTGCGACGTGTCCTGAGATCGGTGCAAGACTCTGCTCCTGGGACCGAGGGGGCGCGGTATGCTGCTTGGTCAGCTGAACCGATGGGCGCCGAAATCTTGTGGAAAGGTTTCGAATGGCTGCGTGGTGGGCAGGCGCTATTCGACAGTGCTAGTGCTACGATGCAGGCCTTCCTACCCAAAGAGATCGCCGATGCCGGGCTGCGCGATGGGTCATGCACACGGAGTCCAGAGAAGGTGCGGGAATTTGGCCTGCGGAACACAGATATTAAAATTATGTCGTCGGTGATGAACTACGCTGTGCGTCCTATACTTGAGGTGGCTGTGCCGAGCTGTCAGCGTGGGTTTATCCCTAGGCGTAACTTCGGGGTCAATGTGCTGGAGCTCGATGTGCATGCACGTTGTCAATCGGTTGCCCCGTCTGGCTCCCTGGATTACCCAGTTTTGTTTTCCCTGGATTTCGGCCAGGCGTTCCCCTCTCTCAACCAGGACTTCCTGATGTTCGTGCTCTCCTGCCTCGGCCTCCCTGACGTCCTTCTCACCTTTATCACGCGTCTGCATGAAGCCATTGAGGGCGTGGCGTCGTTGAAGGGGGAGTTCGTGAGGTTGTTCTGGATTCGGAGTGGTATTGTGCAGGGTGGCGCTTTATCGGGCTCGCTGCATGCACTTGGGACAGCAGCTTTTCTGTGGGATCTGGCTACCTGTATTGATGGGGACATGAGGGGGCTTATAAGGGCGTGTGCTGATGATATAGGTGGGGTCCTCTCGGCAGTTCGTCACCTAGTTCACGTGTATCGTGTTATGTCACTGGCCGAGACACTAGCGAATCTTCAGCTGAAAGTTGCTAAGTGTAAGGTGGTTCCTTTGTCTGGTCGGTTTGATGTCTCTCTCCAGGGCCATGTCAAGGATGCTATCGCTCAAGTCGTTCCTCGGTGGGCCTCGTTCGATGTCGTCCCTGAGCTCCTGTACCTCGGCCTCTGGTTGGGACCCGCCGCGGACTCGAGAAGATGCTGGATTGACCCCATAGCTAAGCTTCGTCTTCGGGCCCTTGCCATTGCTCATGGAGTTACCCCGGCTAGTATCTCGGCGATTCTATATAACCAACGTGCAGTGTCCACTTTATCGTATGTATCGCAGTTTTGCTGGCTCCCGCTGCCGTTGCTGCGGCTCGAGCTTTCCGTCTTGGCACAGGTCTTCCGTGTCCCCTTGGGCGCGTTCACACTCAACAGCTGGACTCAACTGGAGAAGCGGGGTTGCCCTCGTGTGCTCAGGTGGGGACATCTCAATACTGCGTCATTGGTCCGATCAGCATTATTGACGTTCCCGCAACATATGGAGAATTTGTCCCGTCTTCGGGCGCATGTGGAGGCACATCCGATGTGGCACTCCCTTGACATGCTCGGCACGGGACGTCTTTATCTTGGTTTCTGGAAAGCCCCAGCCTTTGTGGAGACCCTGGCGGATGTCGCGAGTGGAGTGGCGCCTGGACCCTTCGAATGTCGGGTGGTGGCTTGTGCACTTCCCGTGGCACGTGATGCTCTGGTTCCGCAAATGGGCAAGCGGCCGCGTCCGCAGCGTGCTGCTCATCGTGCTCTTCGCGAAGCTGGTGAAGTGGAGGCTCCTCTTGTGTCGCTGCTGAGGAAGCGTCTCGGCAAGCTCTTACCGCGGCATGCGGGTGCACTTGATGCCATCCAGTGGGACACAGTCCAGGCGGCCCTCACTTCCTGTCCGTTCTCTTGGGCATGGGCTGCGATGAGGACATGGACGGTTGCGTGGCTCACATCGAGTCGGATTCTGCGCCCCTTTGGACGGCGCTGCTGCGCCTTTGGGTGTGTTGGTGCGTCGGGTGCTCTTCGGCACTATGCTTATTGCCGCCCACTTCACGTGGCTGTTCGTCGTGCTCTGACTCACCCTTTCCCTCTACCTGTTCTGGAACGTTGGGGGCTGTGCCATCCGACAGTCGAAGCAATGGCATACTTGGCGGTAGTGTATGCTGCTTACAATGAGGCGCGGCTCATTCCTGCTTGGCCTATCACGCCTACTCAGCTGCATTCTTGTGCAATGGCAGGTGTTCGATCTATGACTTTGGCCGCGCCGCAACGCCTCGCCAATGGAGTGCGGGCGGGTCAAGTGCTGCTGGACTTTCAACGCCGTCGGCGGCCCGACTCTGCGTCTTCCTCGTCCTCGTCGTCCTCATCGTCCTCCTCGTTGGTGGAAGCGGTCGGCGGCGGGCTTGGTCTTTCTGCTCGGCAGCGCCCTGGTCACCCTGACAGCCCGCGGCTGACACCGGTGGTCACCACTGCGTCGTCGTCCCCACGCTCGAGAGCGGCGTCGGATGCGTCGGAGGACTTTGTCATGCTTGACCTGCGCCCTGACGTCGTGGCGGTGGGACCTCCCTGCCCTGGAGCGGAGACTGTCTTGCCCTCCCCTGCGACGCCTGCGACGCTTCTCGCCGCGCCAGAGCGGGTGGGTCGTCTTGCGGACTTGGAGGACTTATGTGATGACCAAGGGGATGGTGACGGTCAATCGGTGGCCCATGCCACTGGGTGCTCCTCGAGTCCAGTGTCGAGTGGCGTCAGAGCGCTCTGCCATCCTTGCGGGCGCGACCCTGGCATCCCCTCGCAGATGGATCCTGCTGGCGCGGGAGGCGTCAGATCGCAAAATTCCGAAGAAGAGGGCTCCTCGACCTCTCCGCCTCAGGTTCTTAGAGTAGATTGCGAGAACAAGTCTCGTGCTGGCGTCAGATCGCAAAATCCTGGAAGCGGGTGCGCCTCGAGCCCGCTTGCCCAGGTTCACCGAGTAGATTGCGAGCTTGTGGTCTCCTCTGGAGTAAGTTGCGAGCCTGGAGTCTCGAGCGGAGTATCGTTGGACTCGGCCTGGGTGGGCTCATGTGGGAGGATTGCGCCCTGCGGGACGGTTACATTGCCTGGGACGATGGGGTGTGCCTCTCGATGCTGGATGTCGCGTGGGACTTCCTCACCGATGCAGTGCCCGCAGTCGATGTCGATGACGGCTCCAGTGACGCGTACTGAGTCTAGCATGCCGCGTCTCTCGTCCTCGCCCTTGCTTGTCCACATGGCGGCCTCTCGCCCCCGCATTGTGAGTGTCCCCGCCGTTGGGCGCCCTCGCGCTCTCCCCGCTCTGTCCGTCTCCTCGAGTCCTGCCGATGCTGGTGATCGCTTCTCTCCCACGCCCGTTTCCTCCATCGTGCGTCCTCGCTGCATTTTGGCGACTGTCCCTGTTCGACCATCCAGCCGATCTGGCCACTCCGTCCCTGTACATTCAGCGTTTGCAACAGCTGTCAATTGCCGCCGCTCGCCCCTGTCTATTGGTGGTGCGAATGCTATTTTCTCCACCCGCCCCCCCGATGCTGCTCCTCTCGCTCATCCTTTGATTGAAAGAGCGGATATCGATGGCGCCAACTCTATTTTCTCCACCCGTCCTGCCGAGCCTCCTGCTGCTGCTCCCCACTCCCTTCCTCAGATTGAAACGACATATAAAACGGCTGGCCGACCTTCCACCCCGATGGCTTCGTCGGCGGAGCTGTTCGAGGTGCCCGGCGCGCCCACGCCCGTGCCTGCAGCTGCTGCTGCAGCGTCCGAGGCGCGGCCCCTCTTGCCCGTGCCCCCATCTTCCTTTAAGGGGCGGGCCTAGTGTGGTCTTGAACGGACCTCACTGTACGCCGGGCTCCTCCTCCTCCTCCTCCTCTCCTCCCTCCTCCTCCTCCTCCCTCCTCTCCTCCTCCCTCCCTCCCTCCCCTTCCCTCCTCCTCCTCCCTCCTCCTCATCCTCCTCCTCCTCCTCCTCCTCCTCCTCCTCCTCCTCCTCCCCCTCCCCCTCCACCTCCTCCTCCTCGGGTCGCCTGCGGCCCCGGGGGGAACCGTGCACCACATCCCCCATTGACCCGATTCCCCTGGGGCCCAGCCATCATCGAGAACAAAAGAACCCGTAAACCGAATAATACGATGAAGACGTGGCCTCATTTAGGCCACCGTGTTCGCATGAGAGGTAATACATCTGGGCGGTTTGGCTTGGCACATCTGCAGAAAAGACGACCTACCCTCATTGTTATTGGCCCTCCTAACTGAGGCCCCCTCCCAAAGGGTTAGGGGTATTTCTATCGCGTGTCAAACCAGCTCAGACCCCTCAGCCGCGTCCAAGCTTGGTCTCCTTCTGTTCACAGCTACGGCGCGTGAAGTTTACGGTGCCCAAGCGGGCTTATCGTCTCTGCTCGCTCGCTTTGCCTCACTCTGGTGCCATCCTCTGCGCGCTGCTGCCTGCCCCATCCGAGCGACGCGAAATAAACAGGCCGTATGCGCCGACATTGGCGCGTAAGTTGCCCAGGTAAGGTCGCGCGCAAGCGCCCTCGTCTCCAACGTAGCGTGCCGCGCTGGCGGCCCGCGTAAGCTGCCGCGTAAGGTCGCTGTGCCATCTCGCGTAAGGCCCGGCTTTGATCGTCGCCCACCTGGTAATAAAACCACCTCGGTTATGTCGGATTCATCTTTTCGGTCTCGCAGTGAAAAAGCCCGCGGCGTCTCGATAGCCTAAGCTCGCAGCGGGAAGGGGAGGTCGCTGCTTAGCTGTCGTACCAGTTACGCCCGCTACAGTCAAGACACTGAGATAAGGATCACTTCGGGTGCGGAAAGGGTCGGGGGTGGATAGACCTCCTACCCTGACACTTCGATTAAAGAATGGCCGTTTTCGGTTCGCGACAGGGCATCACGGCCATTATTTTTGCGGGTCCAGGTCCGTCGGTTTCGGTCCCAGGCCGTTTTCATTAAAGGGAGGTTTACTAAAGGGAGGTTTGTCCACCGCCGAAAGTGTTTGTTGTTCCTTGTGTCCTTCCTTGGTTTCTTCCTCCAGCGCCGCTCGTGCACCGCAGCGCCCCTCTTTGGTGCCCAGAGTGGATCCCGGATTTCTCCATGGCAGCCAGGAGGGGAACGTACGCACAAGCACATATGAACGTCGCTTTCCATGCGATTGTCGGAAAGAATGGGAAACGGAAGGGAAGAGGAACACC